TCTTCCTTCCATGGCGGATTCCGACGCAGGGAAGCCGCTGAGAAAAATCTCAACCGCTTTCAAGGAACTTGCGGCCACCGTCAATTCGCCGACTCCGGAAGTCCCACTCGCACAGTTCTCTCACGCTTGCTCTCTCGTTTCGCCTCTCTTTGGTTGCCTTGGAATCGCCTTCAAGTTCGCCGAGATGGATTATGTTGCCAAGGTATTCCGATCAAGTTATCCACACTTTAGATTATAGATTTCGTGATATATGGTTTTGGTTAGTATATTCGATAGTAGTTGTAGAAATTGTCAGTATGTGGAATTGATCTTCTGAGTTTCCTAACTTTGATCAAGTGTTTGTTTATCTGGAGGGGTGTGAATGTTTGGAAAATGAAACGTTATTGTACTGGAATTGACTACAGGTTGATGATCTTGCGAGGGCTTCGAGTTCGATATCGACATTACTGGTAATGGTGGACAAAGATATCGAGGCAAACTGTGTAAGGAAAGCTGGTAGTCACACTAGAAACCTTTTGAGGGTTAAGCGTGGTCTTGACATGGTTAAGGTTCTCTTTGAACAGATAATTGCTTCCGAGTAAGTGTTTCTTCTTGACGACTCTCTTATGCGAGTTTTTGAAACTGTTTAATCCAATGCATATTTTATCCCCCGAACGTTAGGTCGCTCTACTTGATCACCCGGGTTAATTTGTATTTGAATATGGACATTGAAGTAAAAGAGAAATGTAGTATTGTTGTAGTTTTTATTTGTCAAGATCAGAATATTAAAATGTGTTTCGGTATGATTTGCAGAGGTAATAACTCTTTAAAGGATCCAGCATCCAAGTCTTATGCTCAAGTGTTTGCTCCACACCATGGATGGGCTATACGGAAAGCTGTTTCCGTAGGGATGTACGCTCTTCCCACAAGGGCTCACCTACTTAAGATGCTCAATGAGGATGGTGAGCGCTTGAACTCGTAATGCAGTGTGTATTCTGTGTCAGATATATTGCTAGTTAAAGAGTAATAAAGTCCAAAATTGCAGTGTCTTCAAATTTGAAAATTCTAAAATCGATTTTCGAAAAATGAGAATCACACTGCAGTAGTTGTCTTGTCATGTTTTACTTCGTAAGAGAAAATATTTTTCAGTCTGATCTTGGCTTCTGCAGTAGACTCATTACGATTCATTGTGCAGTGAATTTGTTATTTTCCTCCATGCTACCTCGGTTTGAGATTTCATTTAGTCACGAGCAATC